TTTCAGTAATTCATTTTGAATTAGCATCTGTATAGTATGAGGTAGGAGACCCAACTTCATTGTTTGTTTTTGGATATACTATTGTCCCAGCACCATTTTATGAAAAGATCACCTGGACTCTTGAGGTTGGCAAGATGGGTGTTATCATTTACATTTTATGGATGAGGAAACAAATTCCAGAAAAACTGTGACTGAATCAAGTCCTCTCAGATGGAAACAGTTAAGGATGTATTTGCCCTTTAAGTTACCCCCCTAATTCTACCCTGAAGGATTCTTCACAATTTTCTAAAAGATCCTTGAGACGATTGACCATGGCATTTTCAGGAAAACTTCTCTGTGATCTGACATGAGAGACTGACTTAGAGCATCATACCAAAGTCTTTCTCAGGAGGCAATCTGAGAATTTATGTAATCAAGCCAATATCTTCCTTCAAAGAGGGAGCAACACAGAGTTGTACATCTGTGGCCAGCCTATCTCTTCTATTCATCCTAGCTCACTGATGACTCCGTTCACCCCTGTTCACTGATGACCTTACCAGCAGGCATTCTTCTGCAGAATGGCCTCACATGGTGATGGTTAAATCCAGTGTGAGACTCCAGATGGGAACTTGGAGCCAAAACAACACTCCAGGCAACTGTTTTCTATTCCACTCACGGCATCTGTGTTATCCCTCGATGTCACAAGCCAGAGGAGCTCATCTCTAAGAAGGCCTTTCTCTAGACTGCAGGCTCTGATGAATGTTTGCCTTGCCTAGAAGCAGCAGTAGTCACTGCCCAGGCCTTGTCCACACACCCAGCTATGACTGTTTGCCAGGCCAGAGTACAGGTGAAGGAAGTCATTTCTGAAAAGGAAGCATGATATTGAAGAAAGCACAGCTAGGCAAGCAGCATATGAGTCAGAACCCAGGGAGAAAGTCAGGGCTAAGGAATTGGGGGGAGCCTACCTCCAAAGTGGCTGAGGTACCATGGAGCACTGTCAGGAGCTGGTCATGGTCTCAGAGTGTTTAGCTTCTGCTGCTAATAGGAGATAGAATTCCATGTTCATACCATACTCAGGAATGGCATTACAGTCAATTTTACACTTTACAGCCAATGAGGCATAGTGCTATACCAAGTGAGGAGACATATCAGGGTCACCTGACAAGGAAGGGTCCACGTGGCTAGATGACAGTGATGGCTGCTTGTTAAAGCCTTCTCAACCAAAACCGTGTGTGTGTGTGTGTGTGTGTGTGTGTGTGTGTGTGTGTGTGTGTGTGTGTGTGTGTATTCTATAGCAAATGTGTTTGTACATACTGAGAGCTTTTGGTTATTATTTAGGGTCTCAATAAGGGAGTGGTAATGGTCCAAAGTTTCAATAGCTCTGTGTTGTATGGGATTCTCCTACACTAAAGGACACTGATAGAAAAGGTTTCACCTGAAGGGTCCAGTCATTTAAATGTCCAGTAAAATACTATTCAACTATAATAAGTAACTGGTTATAAAGACCACACTAATAGGTTTGGGGTTGAGGGGCCTGAGTGTGTCTAAGAGAAACAATGGTTAAAGAAGGCTCAGGGGTAGCAGAAGAGGACATCTGTGTGCTAACAAACCTGCAATGCCAGGGCCCAGAGCTCTGGGACCAACAATAGACTCAGGAGAGTGGAAGCAAAGAGTCTACAAAGCAAAATCTAAGTTAGTCTGAGGTCTTACCAAGCTGTCTTCCTCTACATTGATATAGCTGCCATGAACACATGTTCAAATCCATTAAATTTTCCTTTGACAAGAGAATCCAATGCTCTTTTTATTTTCACTTGGCAGCTTTTTCCATTACAGGCAGGGAGACTTTCTGTGAAGGTTTTCTCACTAGGCACATAACGGGTCCATGGAAAGGGGAACCCATGTTTGATCCTGTACTCTGTGGTAAATGTTTCTATCGGCCTTATGATGCCAAGACCTCATGGCAGACTCACACCCCTTGGTCTATCTCCCGAGGGAATGAATGAGTTCCTTCCCAAGGCCAGGTGTTCTCTTCTCAGCACCCCTCTTTTCCAGAGTCACTGCTCCACCCTCCCCTCATGCAGGGGTATTTCAAAATATGTTTGCAAGTAAAAAGAACTGGGTGCCTTGAGCAGGAAGGAACATACTGGAAAGCCCTCCCAGCACTCCTGTGATGACTCACTGGCCACAAAGGCCCAGGTGCTTTTGTGAGGTGGGTGACTCTGTTCTGTAGACAGGGGAGATGTCATGCAGCCGGGCCTTTACCTGAGTCACAGTGATGGCCAAGGTCAGAGCCAGACTTCCTGTGCAGCGAGCTCATTACAAACTGGATCTGACGTCTTTGCAGTCACATCTCCGCTACCCTCATAATTTCCTTGAGCTGTGGATTTGCCAGCAGTAAGATCTTCAAATTAGAAACATTTAAGGATTTTAGCCCAGCTAAATGCTGCCTTAATTATTTCCCAGCAAAACTGCAAAGTCACAGAGACAAACGGTAAGTACACAAATAGCCATGATGCGGAGTGTGAGACGTGCCCTTCAAGAGTCAGGGGAGACGGGGACGTGCCCGGTGGCTTAAGGGGAAAGCCCACACCAAACCATTACATCCTGAGATGTCTATATTGATGGTAGGGAGTCGGGGCAGGGGGTGGCAAGGAGACCTAGACTCTAGGAAACTCTCTTTCACAGGCACTGTTCCACTGGGTTCTTAGCAAGTCCATCTTTCTCTAAATAGAAGTATCTGAGGGCAGGGCCAGGGCACAAAGCCAAGGAAAGCATCAACAGAGTTAACTACTAAACAAAGTGTGCATCTGATTTGCATTTAGCTGGGAAAATAACCTTACAGCTTCCATTTGTAAGGTAGCTGTTAGAGATAGCAGATAGTCCACCACTGGAGGGTGGGAACGTTTCTGCTTAGTGAGTAGAATGCAAAGGACAAGGGGAAACCTTTCCTGGCCCTGAGATAGAGTCCTCAGGGCCCTAGTACTCTCTGCCTTGCTCCCTTAAGGGAGTACATGCCAGTTTAAAACCAAGAAGTGTGAGACAAAGTAGATCAGTGATTGGCGAGGCCCAGAAAAACTGCTCAGGGGCGTGGAGTTCATTTGGAGGTCAGGAAAATGTTCTGGAATTGATTACTGGGGATAGTTACACAACTTCACAAATATACTAAAAGTTATTTTACTGTATACTTTAAGGGGTAAGCTGGGGCTGGAGATATGGCTCAGTGGCTAAGACCACTGGCTACTCTTCCAAAGGACATGGGATTGATTTTTCAGCATTCACATGGCATCCCACAACCATTTATAACTCTAGTCCCAGGAAGATCCAATGCCCTCTTCTAGTCTCTGCAGGTACCAGACATACATGAGGTGCACAGACATACATGTGAACAAAATACTAAATACATAAATCACAAAAGGATAAATTTATAGCATATAACATCCCAAGAGCCTTTGGAGCAGACCCAAGCTAGGTGTGTGGTGCACACCCGTAATCTAGCATTTGAGAGGTGAAGGCAAAAAGATCCAGAGCTCAAGGTCACCCTCATCTTCTTGATGACTTAGAGGCCAGCCTGGGGTACATAAAATCCTTTCTCAAAAAGGAAAAGAACCATCTTTAGCCAAGTATGTCATAGAAGGAGAAATACAGACAAGTAGAAATGTCCTTTTCTTATTTCCACTTACATCAGTCTTTTCCCTCCAAGGCCCAGCTGCTGTTGAAGCAGAGGGGCTGGAGGGGGGGGGACCTTGAGTGTAATATGTCTCCCCATCTCAAGGGTTCCTGGAACCCCATAGCACTCCTTTCTCTGAAGCTTCTGAAGGACCTTCTGCAGAGGCAAGAGTCCCTGGGAAAGGGACACAATCTGTTCACTCTTCACTAATACTTGAGCAGGTTGGTCTGAAGTAGCTAGACAATCTCTAGGCAAGGCCACCACATGGGGAGGGCATGAGCATTTCTGAATCAGGAGGATTGGAGTAGTGATAGGTGTAAACCACAGCTTTCCTGAGGAAGAGCAATCCTGTTTAGGAGACTGCATCTGCTTGTATGCAGCCAGTCTCAGATGCCAGGGGTAAGGTGAAGACCCTCTAATGACTACCAAAACAGTCAAGAACTCTGCTTTGTATAGGCAATGGACTAGGAATCTCTTCAGTTATGTGGGGGATGGGGCACAGCTATACAGGGAGCCAAAATTACCCCCAATTAAGAGGAAAATAATAAGAGAAACCAACACCATAACATCTTAAGCCATTGGTAGCAGCCCTGTAACCAGATGTGGGAGTTATAGGGCAGCTTGATACTATATCCATTTAACAGAATAACAGTAGTAGATTCACCCCTGAAGTCTATGAGCTCCCCAACCTGAAGTTCTTGTCCAGATTCCAGTACTCAGCAGGTGTTTCCTCTGGTAGAGCTGTCTTTAAATCCAATCAGGAAGCAGTTACTTAACCCCATTAACATTCAAGCCACTACTGTAGCCATGGGCACATCATATTTCCTTGATGTGTTATTAGTAAATGTTTGGTTTTTGTGCCTGTTTTACATACCTATGTCCTTGGGATCAGCAAAAGGGAATGTGGAGTGGAAAATGTCTAAGATGACCTGTTCTTTTCTCTTCCAAACTAATAGACTCTTCCAGTGAGCTAAGCGATCATGATGGGAACACTTTCATTCTCACGTACTTTCCTGCATTTAGAAACGTGAATACAAAGATCAGTATGAGTTCTCAAAATGAAAACCAAATGGTATGAACAAAGCTGTGTGCAGACAAGGTGGCAGCAGAAGAGACGGCTCCATGGGTGTGACCAGATGGAGACCCTGGCTCCAGGGAGGAACCTCCCAAACATACAGTTTACCCCACCCAACTTTAGTAATCCTGATACACTGGAGTTCCTAGTAGGGTATGGAAAGGACAAAGCTCCCCTGGGACTGTTCTGAAGCTCCTACAATAACTTTGTACAATAATCTTGACGCCGTGAGAGTGCATCCGAGATCACCTTCTAATCCACTTTGATTTTTCCCTCTAGGTGGACCTACCATGACTTCTTCAACCGGTATCGAGTGTTGATGAAGAAGAGAGAGCTTGCCAACACCGACAAGAAGAGTATCTGCAAGTCCGTCCTGGAGAGTCTCATCAAGGTGATCCAGCTGTAGGAGGGCATGGACCAAAAGCCCCAATAGTGGAGGGTGGGGGATACCTACAGCTTTGTCTTCATCCCTACAAAACTAAGACATTAGGCCATTGCGTGCAACAGTGACTGGGAAAGGCTAGTCTCCTCCCCTACCTAGAGCACCCCATGCCTCTCCGCATCTCAGCACACGCAGAGCACAGGTCACTAGGGTGTGTATAGAGGCAACCCCTGGCTGCTGCTGCTGTTTCAGCATCTCTGGTTTTGCAGGGTTGATGTCCCCAGTGGAGGTCTGATCGGTAGCCAGCCTCAGCTTGTTCTAAATGAAACAGCAGGTTCTCAGGCCTTTGAAAAATGGTTTTAAATGGAACAACCCAAAAATCACATTTCAGGCTGAAGTATTGTTAAGAGCAGAGCCACAAGGGGCAAATCCTTAAATATTTCAATAGTTCTAGAGAGTGCCAAAGTTCTAACAGAGTATTACAATCTGTGTCTCCATAAAATGCTAAATTATAGAAAATATCTTTCAGAATATGATTAAAAAAATGAATTAAACATGTTTTTTATAAACTAGCTGGCTAAGACAATGCTGAGAGGGTGGCCTATAGTTAACTGTAGGTTGTACTTGGTTGATAGGACTCTGGTTAACTATGATGTTGCTGTGGTCCATTCATCATCTGTAAATGGAGGCTTTTCTCTGTCCTACCCCATCTCACAGCTGCTTTTAAAATAATCACTCAGAGGCTTATATTAATTATAAATGCTTGGCAGATGGCTCAGGCTTAGGCTTATTACTAGCTAGTTCTTACAATTATTTAAATTAACCCATTTCTATTGATCTATGTATCGCCACATGGCCTGTGACTTACTGGTTCTTTCACGTCTTGCTTCTTGGGCAACTATCAGCATTTCTCTGGACTCCGCCCTTCTTCATCTCTGTCTTCCGTTTGAATATACTACCTAACTTTATTCTGCCTCGCCATTGGCCAAACAACTTTATTTATCAACCAGTGAGAACAACACATATTCATAGTGTACAGAAAGACATCCCACAGCAATCATCACTGTGCATGTTTTGACATTTCATTTTTCATAGGTTAGGAAAATGTGTTCAAGATCAGCTGGGTTCAGTTCATCTATAGCACTGGGACTTCTCAGAGTCAGGGCTGGCCTCATGGTGTGTAGCCCAAACCTGTGAGTAGCTTCCATGACCATGTGAGTGCCTTCCACTTTATCCAGAGTCATCGTTTACCCTTACCTGGACCCCTTCAAGGTTGTTAGCAGAACCTCCATCCACAGATGAGGAAACTGAAGTATAGGAAGAGGCTGTAAATTGCTTAGGGTTTCACAGGCATTCTAATGCACACTGCCTACTGATCTGGGGTGATAGGTTAGGGCTGCTCTGCACAGTTGTCTGTCCTGGAGATGGACTGCTCGCTTGTGCTCAAGACTCCCCTGCAGATAATACATTTCTTCATTTTCCCCAGCCCTTGGGCCATGTCTTCCAGATACAACATTCCCTCTGAGCAGGACTTTGGCTGAGCCACGGGTTAGCCTTGAAGACCATGTGCCCAGTCCTCACCAGAGTGCTCTGTGTACTCAGGGGTAGAATGGTCAGAGGAGATATAGAGATGAAGATGGGCGTAGGCTGAGCGGCATGGTCTACCAGCCCCCTTCTGTGAGGATGAGCTGTTTGCTAGTAGATGCTTCATCAGGCCGTCTCTGAGGGCTTGATAAACCGCTGTAGCTAGTAAGAGGGGGGATGTGTATTTTGGTAGAAGCACCCCTTCCAAGGCTTTCAGAATGCCTTCTCATCCTTAACCTCATGTGCCGTGTTCTGTACTCTCTAAGCATGTTCTGAGTCCCTTCTCTGCCCCAGTCAGGGATGTCCCGAGGGAAGGGTATAAAATGCCCCACAGACTTGCCTGCAGGAGGCATTTTCTCAACTCTGGTTCCTCCTTCCAGATAACTCTAGCTTGTGTCAAGTTGACAAAAACCAACCACCACAGTAAATGTCAGAACTTGGCTCCTTCCTGCCTGTGGTCTTCGTGGCAGCACACACTTAGATGACGATTGTTTGCAAAGAAGTCTCAGCCATCAGTGATTTTACTCTCCCAGCCTTGTCCACAAGTGCCCTGCTGGGTCACCTTTCCTTATTTATTGGGGTAAACACAAGGAAGGACAGCTAATTTTAATCTCATAGATATGATTAAGACAGTGACTACATGTTGAAAAAAGAAGTTCATAGAGTTTTGCGTGTTATTTGCAATCTATAATTATGTGTGAACATCCATGATCATTTAAGAATAATCAATCAAATGTTTACCAGACCAGGTCATTGCTTGCACAAAGGCCCAGACTCCATGACTACTCTTCCCATTTTGTACCACAGCCCAAAAGCCTTGGGTGGCTGGCTCCTTCTGATACCTACCTTCAGCTTCCTGTACATAGCCCTTCTCCTGTCTCTTGGTACCACAGGACAGTGGCATCTGCTCTGACCTTCTAGAATACTCCTCTAGCCTTACCTTCCATGGCTACCCCCCTTGGCTCATGCAGATCTTTGCCCACTTCCACAGATATAACTGCCTAGACCAGTGGCTCTCAACCTGTGAGGCAGGAACCCTTTTATCACATAGGAGATGTCCTGCATATCAGATGTTTACATTATTCATAACAGTAGCAAAAGTACAGTTATGAAGTATCAATGAAAATAATTTTATGGTTGGGGTCACCACAACATGAAGAACTGTATTAGCGGGTTAGGAAGCTTTAGGAAGGCTGAGAACCACTGGCCTAGACCATCCTTTTTGAACATTGCTTGTTTCTTGCTAGCTAATCCTTCCCATTCCTTCAAAGAGTCTCCTGCTTACTTTTCCGTCTGCCCTCCCCATGATGTTGGATTTTTGAGGGCAGGTGTCTTTTTAGTGGCCACATCCGGGATCCATGTCTGTCTTATCATGCAGACTCAAATCTGTTTAATGAATACTGAGAGTCTACTAGGGCAGGGGGAAGGAAAGGGGAGCATACATGCAATCTGGCAAGTAGTTCTGCCTTGGAAGGAAAGGCTAGTGTGTTTTGCAGAGTTCACTAACCAGCCAATCTCCCTCCCAACCTGCTAAAGGACCCAGACAAGTTCCAGTTTGGCCGCACCAAGATCTTCTTCCGGGCAGGCCAGGTGGCCTACCTGGAGAAGCTTCGTGCCGACAAGTTCCGGGAAGCCACTATCATGATCCAGAAGACTGTCAGGGGCTGGCTGCAGAAAGTCAAGTACCGTAGGCTGAAGGCAGCCACCTTAACCCTGCAGAGGTTCTACAGAGGACACCTGGCCCGCAGGTGAGCCATTTGGGGGTGCATGTGAAGTCAGGAGAAAGGGGAGAGCCTCTCTGTCTGCAATCACAGTCCTTCCTCTTGGGCCCATCTGCTTCTTAAACTGCTCCTAGTACCTGTGTGCATCCCTGTCATGCCCTTCTTTGCTTTTTTTTTTTTTTTTTTTTTCTGGTTTTTCGAGACAGGGTTTCTCTGTGTAGTTTTGGTGCCTGTCCTGGATCTCGCTCTGTAGACCAGGCTGGCCACGAACTCAGAGATCTGGTGATGCCCTTCTTGCTTCAGGGAGCAGATCTACCTTATGTGTCTCCTGATACCCAATATACATCCCCAGTCCACCAACACTAACCTAGTACCATCTGATTTGGGTGCAAACCAACCATTTCTACTTTGTCTGAACCCCAAAGTGAAACTACTATCTTTTAGGGAGAGAGATGACTCCAGTTAACTTGCACGTAACCTAGTCATGTCAGAATTTTAAAAACCCTCCAGCCACAGCACAGGGATGACATGCCTCCAGCCACGGCACAGGGATGACATGCCTCCAGCCACAGCAGCTACCATGCAGTAGAGCCGGGACACCAATGAGCCTCTCTTGCCTACCCAGTGCCACACACCACTCTCTTCCTAACCAATGGCCCTGGGCTGGTGAACAACAGGATGGCAGAGGCCGACTCTACTGAGGCAGGCGTAAGAGCCCTAGCGTCCAGTGAGATGCAGGATGCCCCCTCCTCCTAGGCCTTCCCGGGAGTTGTGAGATGGAGACCCAGCCTGCTCACAGCAGTGCTCGCTCCTTTTTGCCTTAGAGAAGTGATGGAAACTGCCATGAAATCTCGTGTTTCAGAGCCAGTTTCTCAGGTGGCTGCTCAACCGTCTCCACTAGAGAAAGAGAAACACAGACACGCCCCACATCCTCACCCAACCCTAAGCGTGGTAGAGGCCTCTTTTGTGTGGTAAAGGTGGAGATGCTGACCTTGCTCGTGTGCTCACCAGAGGCTGCTTACTTACACACAGCCAGAGATGGCTCTTGCCATGCCACCTCTGTACTGTTAAGACAGCCCCAGTGCAGAAACAGTGGAGATAAAAGGGCAGACGGACCACCTCTGAGTGGCCCCCGCACAGTCCCTGCCCACTAATCCCATCGTCATTACTTGTCCCTCCCCAGAGAAGGCACCAACTCAGGCTTCCTGCTGGTGATCCTGCAGCAGCATGCTGCAGTCTCCCTGCAGGGAGCATGTGACCCACGCAATGGACAAAGCCTTGTGTGAAGGAAGGACAGAGAGGTAGACTAGGGGACCCCAGGACTTCAGCATGCAGGTGCTGTGGGGCACTCAAGAGCACTTCCTTTCCCAGGGCTGTGCTAAGTGATCTCTTAGGTCCTCCTCGGTCGGTAGTCTGATCCTCTCTCTGAGCCCTTGCAGTGAACTTGATGAGTGCTCAAGAAGGGTGGGAAGTGTCTGCTCTAGAGAGGGGCGGGTGGAGTCCTGAAGTGAGCTGAGTGGGGATTTCAGGGCATTGAAACCTTGGAGGGAATCCTTGCTGGCCTGAGGAGTTTCTTGTCACTCAGCGAACACGTGCTCTGGTCCTCAACTGCCAGGCCCTGAACTAGGTACAAGAATGCAGGGTGTTTGAACTATCTCTGAGCTTGTGGAGGTGCAGGGGGACAGACAGCTGTGTGACCCCGTTAAGAATGGGAGATGCTAGGCTGGAGAGATGGCTCAGCAGTTAAGAGCACTGGCTGCTCTTGCAGAGGTCCCTGGTCCAATTCCCAGCACCCACACGGCAGCTCACACCTGTCTGTGACTCCAGTCAAGGTGGGGGTCCAACGGGGGCCACAGAGGGAAGGGGCTCACTTCACGAATCATTCAGCTGGCCGAGTTCCTCTCCCTGGTCCCACCTGCGCTCTTCCTCCGCTGCTCCTAGGCTGGCCGAGCACCTGCGGAGAACCCGTGCAGCCATAGTGTTCCAGAAGCAGTACCGGATGCAGAGGGCCCGCCTGGCCTACCGGAGAGTCTGCTGGGCTGCGGTCATCATCCAGTCCTTCACCCGGGCCATGTTTGTGCGGAGAAACTACCGCCAGGTGAGCAGGTGCCTGGAGCATCTCACTTCATTTTCCAGCTCCCCCACACCAGGGTCACTGCCTCTTTCCAAGGGAATAATCATTTGGCTTCCCAAAACTTGAAGCTTCTTAGACTGCGGTTTCCCGTCTAGTAAAATAAGGGTCGACACAAGAGTCTCACGACTGCTTTTCTGTGGGCACATGATCTACAGAACCTAGCTCAGACTTTCCATCAAATCCTCAGGTGTTGTGGGCCACATGTCTTCTGTCTCCCAAAACCAAGGCCAGCCCAGCTTTCACCCCAGGGTGCTTGCAGAAGCTGCACCTGTTCCCACCCTGCAGAACAAACCCCCAGCCTGTGTGCTTGTCCTCACCAGGTCCTCAAGGAGCACAAAGCCACCATCATCCAGAAGTATGCCCGGGGCTGGATGGCACGCAGACACTTCCAGCAGCAGCGGGACGCCGCCATTGTCATCCAGTGTGCCTTCCGGAGGCTCAAGGCCAAGCAGGAGCTGAAGGCTCTCAAGATTGAGGCCCGCTCTGCAGAGCATTTGAAACGCCTCAATGTGGGCATGGAGAACAAAGTGGTCCAGCTGCAGCGGAAGATCGATGACCAGGTTGGTGGCAGGAGATTCCTACCTAGGTGCCGAGGCTTGTCAAGGGATACGGGGACATGCTGGAGAGGGACCCCAAGCTTTCTCAGGGAGCTGCAGGTACCAGAGACCTCAGGGAACATTGCCCAGTCAGTAAGAATAGTTATTACTGTAGTACTCAGCACAGGGCTCCACCCCAACAAAGATGCCAGGCCCTAATCCCCAGGATTGGTAAATTTGTTCCCTCGCATGCCAAATGAAGCTTTGCAGGAGTACATGAGTTAAGGATGTCTGGATCTGTAGATGACACTTGGTTGCCCACAAGGACCTCATGGGGCCATAGGGTGCTCATAAGATGAAGGCCGCAGGTAGCATCAAGTGGCAGGAGGCAGATCCACAAGCTCCAGAGTTCAGGCCACCTTTAGGAGCCATAGATAACCGTGGGAGGTTCTCCCCTGGAGTGTCCAAAGGACCCCAGTCCTGCTGGCCACGTCTAGACTTCTGCACTCCAGAACTGTAAAGTAGTAGCTTACGCTGTTCCGAGCTACCAACTTCATCGTGTTCTTTATAGCAATGACAGGAAATTGATAGACTGGTCCAGAGTCCTGCGGCCCTGGCCCTGCAGAGGCCGTGTGGGACAGCTAAAGCAATGGCTGGTGCTCACTAAGGGTTCGGGTGCCCACATTGTTCTTTCCCGTTTGTGTATGACAGTCCCTGTGAGGGACATGCAAGCTTCCTGTCTGGTAGGACATTGGTGTTGCATTGCTTAAGATTTTCACTCTGTCTGCCCTGGGCACCTTCACACATCAGCCAATTAGATAAGCTGGGAGTTCGTGATGAAGCCCTCTATGGGTGGAGTTCTGTGAAAAGGATCTGAGGCAAGCATAGGATGCTGACTCCTCCTTTGGGGTCCTATGGACTCAGGGTAGAGTACACATTGGAAACAGGTTCACACCACTCAGGTGGCCCAAGTGTCTGCTCCCCCAGGCCCCGGAAGACCTTTGTTCGGTGCCTGATTGTGTCAGACATTCTGTTAGGTTCCAGGTAGGAGGGAGTTGGCACAGCTTGGATGCTGTATTACAGAGATAAACCTTAGTACAGTGGAGATTTGGAGGCTTCTCATAGCCTCAGGGCAGGACAATAGGAGAGTCATTTTGCTTTTGATTTTCTTCCTTAAAGAGAGACTTTCATATAGTCCAGACTAGTCTGCAGCTCCATGGATACCGCTGTGATTTTTTTTTTTTTTTGAGCACTCCAAAGCCTGTGGTAGGTGTTTTATGTTCACTCACATATGATCCATACAGTAGATGATCCTCACATGATTTCGTGAGTCATTTTGAAGGATGGTGGATTGGGGACATCAAACAACTTAGCCAAGCCACAGAGGAATAAAGTGTTAAAATCTTAACTGCACCCCAGGTCTCACCCCATAGCTAGCATGCGGAAGGTGCTGGCTTCTTAGTCCCAAACGTCGCCGCCAATGAGCTGGTCCTGTTCTTCGTGCTATTACCACTGAGGAAGGCTTCCAGAGTGGAGAGGAGACTCATTGTACACAGAGGTCTGGCTGTGTCAAAGGGATCACAGGACCAGGCTTCCAAAAAAGCGAGGAGAGAAAGGATTCAAGGCGCACATGGTGGGGCGTGGGGAAAAGAAGCTTAGCAGTGGGGGACCATCAGACATGGCGATGGAGGTCACTTGGTCTTACTGTACCTGTTCTGTAGTAGGCAGTTTTAAAGCTTCTCATAGCCTCAGGGCCGGGAAATAGGTGAATATTTTTGCTTTTTTAAGCTAGGCTCTCTTGTAGTCTAGGCTAGCCTGCAGCTCCTTTTTATAGCCAAGAATGACCTCGAACCTCTGATCTGTCTGTCTCCACCTCCCAAGCGCTGGAATCACAGGGGTGGGCTGCCAGGCTCGGTTTTACGCTGTGCTAGGGCTCAGCCCGGGAATTCATGCTACAAGGCCAGCACTCTGCCAACTGAGGCGCCGCATTCCCAGTAAAATGAACGCTTTTATGGCTGAGCTGGCTCTCCTGCACATGAGCCCCAGCGTGGAGAGAGCTGGCAATAGAGCACTTGGCTTTCCTGCCCTGGGCAGACACCAGGCTTCTGGGAAGAGCTGGTGCCCTGGGGTGTGTGGGTGTTCTCTGGGAGTTATCCAGAGTGCTGGCTTGATGGTATGGAGAGAGAGAGAGAGCCCCTCCAGGGCAAGCTGGGCATGCTCAGTCCCCGCTCTGGTCAGCCTGTGGTGACACAGCTAGTCAGGGTGTCAGCGCCTGGGGAAGAGGTCTGCTCGAACAGCAGGCACCACGGTGTCCTGTGGGTCTGTCAGGGCCGCCAGGGCCAGTGACCGTCTGACAGTCAGTGTCCTAGGCACAGGGTGACCAGAAGGACAAGGGGACTGAAAACACTGTCCCCACCACAGAGGAGCCTGTGTGCCACGGGCCACCCTGACCCTGGTGTCAAGATAGTGCTCAGCACCAGCCTTGCTGATGGGCAAAGTCAACCCCAGGGGATAAAAATACTGTAGCATTTTACACCCCACACAATTGAACATCCGAGGGAAGTAGATTGGAAAGGCCTATTTTTAAAGGAAGCTTTTTTCCTGAAGCTTCCTGCTTGGCAAACATCTGTGAGCAGTGGCAGATGTTGTCACCCCGGGCAAGGTTTCCTGTATGCAGTGGGTGATCAGGAGACGTGAGATCTTTCTCACACTGTTCCCCATGTGACTCTCACGCCAGGCACTATTCCCACAAATTAACTCGTTGATCTTCACCATACCTACGGGGTATTACGATTACCCTGTTTTAAAACTGAGTACACTAAGGGCACAGAGAGGATGAGTAACCTACCAAAAGTCACACAGCCAGCAGGTGGCCTGGCTGGGATTAAAACACAGCAGGCTGTTTTCAGGCAGGTTTTGCCACCTCTATCTGGGTTTCTAAATCATTGGGAGGCTCTTGGGGTGTGTGAGGAATGCTCTTCAGGCCAAGCAAGGCTGTAATGTACGTTTAGGGTCATGTTCACTAGTTCACTAAAAGTATCATGTCCTTGGGACTGGTGAGCAATGTGTGACAATATCACCATGAGTACTGGACATAGACCTCTTGGTGGGCAGACCAGCTATTGGGAAGTGAGTTGGGTGCCTTTTTCCCTGTGACTCCAGGAGTAATCTAGACAGCTGGTCTCTTTACAGTCTTTAAGCCAGAAGGAAAAAGATGCCAGAGAGAAAGTGTCCCAAAGTCACTTGTCAGAATAGTGTGATGTAAGAGGTCGTGTCTCAGTAGCAGGAGACAGGAGTCGGCTGAGAGTATTTCCACCACTATGGGAAGGAAAGCCAAAAGGCAAAACCAGGGGATATGAACACCCCAAGTTCATGCCTTAAGGCTGAGGACCCCAGCTGCAGGGAACAGACTCCATTTGCCACCAAGCTTGTGCGTAACCAACAGAGGACAAGGTCACATGAGAGAGCCCCTCAGGAGGAAACAGGGTGATCAGGAGCCCGGAGCTGTCCCTGGTGCTAACACACTTCTCTTCTGGGTTTTTGGTCTCTGATGTTAATGCCACCTCCTTCACGGTACCTTTCAGCAGCAGAAACAGGGACCATCCCAGAAATTACCCTACAGTGCCCCTAGTGTTAGCCTCCGGTATGGCATGCTTAAACCAAAAGGATAGAGTCCATAAACACTGCCATTGTGGCAGAGTGACATGGCCAGATTTTATAGTTTCTTGTAATAGAACTCAAGATTCTTAGGCCCTTGTGAAGATAAGGTTGTGTTTAAATATTTTTATCTGAAAAAAAAAATAAACCAAATCAATAGTTTAGTCAGTGGCCTTTAAATCAGTTTGATTCAAGATAGTTAATAGTCACTCAATAAATGTTGCATTAGTCCGTATTTTATGATTCTCAAGGGCATCCATATATGTTAGAAAAACAGTCTGCTATGAGTTACAGCTTTGGGACCTTTCTGTGTCCCAGTTTCACAGCTGCAGATCATGTGGGGGCTACCAGTCACCCTCACCGAAGGTGAGGTCTGACAGGTATAAATGAGGTACAGTGATAGCCCCAAGTGGGCACTCACATGCCGGGGGCTGTGACTTCACCGTGAAGATCCTTGCGATGATTTTCCATCTTCCCACACCAGCCCACGTCTGACTGGGTGACTGGGAACCACAATGAGTCTGATTGTGTGGGTTCTATGTCTGAGACATAAAACATACAGCCTCGGGAAGCCAGGCGCAGGGGTTGTTTGAGTGATAAGGCTGATAGTGATGAGTGGGAGTGGGAACCGGCAGACACAGAGGCTTCTGAGCAGCAGCCAGAGGGACTCCACGGAGAACACAGGCCAATGAGGCGCAGTGACTGTGTGGCACATGCCAAATGAGCGCTTTGTTCCCTACACCTTAAGAATGACCTTCTAAGATGGGAATCGCTCTTATCCCTAGTGTACATGGGAAGAAGTGGGCCACAGAAAAGTGGGTGGCTGGATCAGACACCCAGAAGGCTAAGGACAAGATGAGCTCAGGTCTGTCAGCTTCAGAGACCTTCTCCCCCAGTGTTTGAGTCTGGTCTCCAGTAGCATCAGCAAAGATCAGCAAAGCTGAGTCTTCCAGAAACATCAGCATTCCAAAATGTCATCTTTGACCATAGCAGGCTGAGATGTGCCTGCATCCCCTGCCTCCATCACCAGGTGTTCGTCTCTTCATATTCCAACCAGCTCCATTTAGGGAACTCAGTCACCGTGTCTCTACCCTTGTTGATCTGGCCCAGGCCGGGCCAGTGGGAGTTGACAACTGATCTGAGTTAACTCACATCCAAGAGCAGAGATGAAGACAAAGGGTAGCCAGCCACCTGTGCAGGGATGCTCTGCCTCCAGTGTAGACCCAGACCCTGGTGAGCAATTCACACAGGTATTGATCTTTCTAAATAGATGCTGCTTAGTTGGATTTCTTTAGTTGGATTTTTCTAGATTCGCCAGGTGAGGCTGACAGCAAGACAGAGGTAGTGGGGAGAAGGCTGTACCTGGAGCTTGCGGAGAGTGTGGGGAATCTTGCACATGAGGCATGCGCTGCTTGCCCGCTCAGACACGGTACTTAGAGCTGTGAGCTGCTGGGTAGATGCCAGCAGCTTTTCTTTGGGAGTTCCTGTGCGGTTTAATTTCTCTGTGAATTAGTCATTGATTCCTGATGCCCTGGCTTAATGGCATTTTAGCCAACAGCTCTGTTCTGCTTGGAGTTCCCGTGAAGCACAGCAAAGAAGAGCAATCAATGAGAGCTGCTTGCCTGCTGATTCAGAGGTCTCCTTCCTCTGCTCCACTTCTCCATCCTGACCACTCCGCCTCACACGCCCTCCATTCTCCCAGCCCCGTCATTGACACTGAGCTTGATCCTGGGAGCAGGTTCTCAGGGCCTGATGCACACACAAGTTGGCTGCCGATTGGGAACACAGTCTATGGATAGAGGTTGTCAGATGTCAGTCTCTCTGGTGAGAGCTGTGTGGTGTGAGCCATGTTGACAGGTGGCAAGAGAGACCCTGGGGCCTCTTGGAGGGCCTCCTTGAAAGAGGGGATGCTGAAGGGGTCCTTTGTCTCAGAGGAAGGGATTAGGTTACAGCTCTTTGTGCTGGTAAGTCCATGGCCAGAAGGGCTTGATGTGAAAGCCTGGGGAACCCTAGGAGGCCAAGACTACAGATCCAGAAAGCTGTCTCCATTATTGCTGCAGCCAGCAAACTTACTCTGTGAGTGCTCACATGTTCTCCCTGGACTATTTCAATGTCAATGCTGCTGTTTGTGTCTCCCTCTGCTTCCGGAAGTTTAAAATGTTAGGGAGATGGCAGGAGAGTGCCTGGACATGTGATGTTTCTGAGATTTAATTAGAAGTCCTTTTCTGGTGGCCTTCACATTTTTTTTTTCTGACTCAGTAACCCTGTCTCTTTCTTGATCCTCTCCCACATCTGCCGATGCCCTCTACAGAACAAAGAGTTCAAGACTCTGACAGAGCAGTTGTCGGCAGTCACCTCCACACATGCCATGGAGGTGGAGAAGCTGAAGAAGGAGCTGGCACATTACCAGCAGAACCAGGAGGCCGATGCCAGCCTGCAGCTGCAGGAGGAGGTGCAGAGCCTGCGCACTGAGCTACAGAAGGCTCAGTCGGAGCGCAGGGTTCTAGAGGATGCCCACAGCAGGGAGAATGGCGAGCTGAGAAAGGTATGCATGGACCCAGGGAGCAGGGCTGGCAAGGGGTTGGTGGGCGGGCTTCATGCTGGGAAATTTCCCTGGTTTCCAGGCCTTGTGTCCACAGACCAGCCTCCGCCCCCCTTCTTCACTTCATAAGTGACTGTGCCTCTGCGTCATACCACAGATGTCTACTCCTGAGCAAGTGGTCATGGAGTGGCTGCCGTTAGCTAATCACTGGCTCCGCTGGGCAAGTGAATGTTGTCTTTCTTTGCTCATCTTTCTTAAAGCCTAGAGCCAGTTCCTAGGTCAGCTCTCCAGATCTAGTTCTTAGTGAGAGATATGGCAGCTGTTAAGTGTTCTGGGGCTTCAGCAGGCTGTAGCCATCGCTCCCACCAGGAAATCCATATATTTCAGGGGTCTGCTCTGTGTGTAGCCTGACTTCTCAGTCTACTTCATAAGTCTTACCCCAAGTCCATGAAATGGGACTTCCTGGGAATGCTTCCACTGCTCCAGATGTTCAGCTACGAAGAAGCTCTTCTGAACTCCCAAGATAGCTCTTCTGAACTCCCAACTCTCCAACTAGGAGAAATCCCACACTAGAGGGCTGTCTATGGGTTGAGAACACCTCTGTTCTCTCCCCCATCTCTACCATGACCCAACTAGAAGAAAAATAGTGCATGGTCCACATGTTTAGTATCTATCTACCATACAGAGTCATTGAGAACTTAAGGAAGGAGAGAGTTGGCGTTGGTTAGTGCTGGAAGAAAAGCTCTGAAACTGGGACAGACACAGAAATACTAGCCCCAACCCCAACTCTATATTGTCAAGTGTGAGCAAGAACCCCTGCTAGTCATAATGCCCGTGTGTAGGTGTGTACGTATATACATAAACCCATGTCGGCACACGGCCTTGGTCATCTCTAAGGCTGCTTCTGGACTTGTATTAGCCAACACAAGTGATTTTGTGTGCTTTTCTAAACTGAACAGAAGACTTCAGTCCTGCTCTGTAGTCCTCGGCTCTTCCACTGCCCTGCTTGTAGCTGAGAACTATGGACTCTCATTTCCTTCCCCTGCTTCCCACAAAAAATTTGAATTGGTGTCTCAGAGCACCTAAAATAGCTGGGTTTCCATCCAAAGGTAGGTAAGGGCTTATTGTATAAAAACTTCCTTGGCAAAGCCAGAGAAGCCAAGTCCATCCTGCTCTCCTTTAAAAATGGCTGTCACCTACCTGTTGGCCCACAGATTGAATACAACTAGAGCTTGGCACGGGCAAGAAAAGAGTCCAGGGCACTACAAGAAAGGGGATAGTTGGAGCAAAGATACCTGCTCCCCACACCATCTTTTGAGATGGATTTTTGCCATGTATCCCTGGCTGGCCTACAACTTGCTATGTAGATCAGCATGACCTCAGACTCACAGAGATCTTCCTGCCTTTGCCTCCTGAGTGCTGGGATAAAAAGCATGCGCCAATATACCTAGCTAAAACCCTCTTCTCTAACTCCAGATGAAATACAAGCCTATGTTAACCTCAAAAGACACTAGAATAGAATGATCCATTGAGTGGGGAGATCCACTCCTTCTAGGAAATGGAAAAATGGAAAATGGGGAACAGACATTCTCCTTTCTCTAACGGTCTATGGAATATTTTATTCCAGTGGCTGGAGAATGGTCGAGGGTCAGCTGGCTCCCAGTTTCTATTCTCGTGTCTGCCTGGCTGGGGTTTAATATTTCGCAAAGGCAGTATCCAGCCTGAACAAACGCTGAATAAGAAGACAGTTGCTTTCCTTCTGGTTGTGTCCAGGGGCTTCCTCTGCATTGAGTGAGATTGATGAGACCAGCAAAGCACAGAGTTGGAGCCAGCGGCTGGCGGATGTTTAATTAATGGGTTTGATGTTCTTGTCAGCAGAAACTGCAAGTGCTGTATTGGAACTGGCATCCTGGAACAGTCGGGGCTGCCACCTCTGATGGTTTTACCTAGTAGGTCACATGGCTGTGCTGCCTTAGCCCTTGGGAGTCAGGAATTCATCTCTGTGTCCACAGAGCATGGAGCTGCCCCTGTCACATCCAGCCTATCGTTTTCTACAAAGGGAGACATTACTTCAGCCTCTCCATAGAGCAGTCCTCACTAAGGCTCTTAACTTTGTCCCTTCTATTCCTTCTTAGAGTCTCAGCATCCCTCTCTGGCTGCCTTCATCCAGCTGTGCTTTTTTGTGTGACTTTGTTACTTAGAAGGGAGGTGGCTACCTGGGCTGCCATTGGCATGGAGGCAATAGCTCTGTCTTAGTTAGGGTTTCAATGCTGTGAACAGATACCATGACCACAGCAACTTTTATAAAGGAAACCCCTTAATTTGGGTAGCTAACAGTTTCATTATCATCATGGTAGGAAACATGGAGGCATGCAGGTAGGCGTAGTGCTGGAGAAAGAGCTGAAAAGTTCTACATCTTGATCCGCAGGCAGCAGGAAGTCAACTGTGACTCTGGGTGTAGCTTGAGCATAGGAGACCTCAAATCCCATCCCAACGGTGACACACTTCCTCCAACAAGGCCACACCTACTCCAACAAGGCCACACCTGCTAATAGTGGCACTCCCTTTGGGGGCTATTTTCTTTCACATCACCAGAATGTGCTCTCAAGGTTTCACAGAGCCTACCTTGGTACAAGGGTGCAGTGGGAAGGGAAAAATGACCCACAGCCAACTGCTTGACCCTGAGGCATCCTTGGCACTTTCCAGGTGTCTAATAGGCCCCAGGTCCCGAGCGCTTCAGCTGGTGCATCAGGTTGTATGTTGGTCCACCTTATCAGTCACAGAACCACCCCCTGCTGATTGGTTGGCTTTCTTGCATGATTCCAGTATATGGCCTTAGGTTTGAGGTTTTGCTGAATGGAAGCAGAGGCATCTGACTGGGGAGAGTACAGGACTCTCATGCGTTTAGTCTTCTCAAGGGGTAGCCCGGGGATTCTTGGACCTGCTGTACTCAGAGTTGTGATTTTATTGGCTCAGGATTTGTGGCTTCATGAAAAGGCTGACAGTTATTAGAAAGGGCTTTAACTCATCTCTGAGGATGACAGGTCCTGCCACAGAATGATAGAAGTCATTGTCCCTCCCTCAGCAGGTGTTTATTGAGTGCCTTGTGTGTTAGCGACTCTTCTACATAGTGAGACAAAAATAATAATCAAAAAGGTCCTTTTCATCTTAGGAGACAGAAGGTAGAGATGGGAGTCCTGAGATTACCCATCATGTGCTATAAAAGAAAGCTGAGCAAGGGGGATGAAGAGAGGCTTATAGGGGTAGCGGGGCATGGGTCACATGTGACGGCCAGAGGTGCCTCTCTAAGAAGACCCCTGAGTGAGGTAAGAGTGAGCCATGAGGACTTCTAGAGTGCCTGGTACTGAGCAGACAGGAGGGGAAGGGTAGTAAGGATTTGCAGAGAGATGGGGTCAGACCTGGAAGTCCTCTGTGATCTCAGGAACCGCTGTAACCTGTGAAACCTCCAGAGATAAATAAGCAACTCTGTCTTTAGAATTGAAGGCTCTTTGAGCTGGGTAATAAACTGGAACACATGCCCTGAACTATCCTGGAGATGAGAGATTTAGTCATTATTTCCAATTTGCCTACGTATCCAAAGGATGTTAATTTCAACTTTTGTGTTAGGATTCCATTGCCTAAAAATTTAACATCATTGTCATCACTATGTGTGTGTGTGTGTGTGTGTGTGTGTGTGTGTGTGTGTGTGTGTGTAGAGGTCGGTTAGAGGATAACTTCTAAGAGTCAGTCCTCCCCTTCTATCTGGAATTGAGGTCAGGTAATCGGGCTTGGTGGCAGCCACCCTTCCCTCTGACACCCACCTCACCAGCCTCTCACCCCTTAGATTTTGGAATAGTTTTAATTTATTCCTTGAGTCCATCTGCTACTTCTCTTTCCAACTCCCCCAGCGCCCCACACTCTAAAACTTCATGTGTTCTTTTTTTTTTTTCTTGTTTTTAATAACTTTGTGAGTCCAATCAGGCTGCCCATACATACATGGCTGTGAGACCATCCACTGGGGCATGGGCAACCTCCCAGTGGCCATGTCCTCAAAGGAGAGTGACTCTCCTTCCCTGAGTAGACATCAGCTGTCCATAGTTCCTCCACCAAGGGTGGACCCTCAGCATCCCCTGTCCCATCCCTGCTGGGGTTTCAACTGCCTTCGTCTTGTGCAGGTAACCACGGTCATGCCGTGTCATTTTCCAGAGCTCCTCCCCGTCCTCTAGCTCTTCCATTCTTTCCACCCACCCTCCTCTGGTGTTCCCCGAACCTTGAATAGGCAGGGGGGCAGGAGGAGAGGTGGGGAGGCATCTGCTGTGGATGACCCATCCACAGCCAGCACTGACTATCACTTAAACTTGGCATTTTGACCAGTTATGAATCTGCATCAACCACTGCCCATGCAAAAAGAAGTTTCTCTAACCAAAGTGGTGAGAAACAAACATTTATGGATGTAAACATAAGTATTTAGAAGATAGTTTGACAACATGACCAATTAGCAAGGCTTACTGTTGTAAGTTCCCCCTCAGAGCCTGTGGTCTTAGTCATGGATTTATAATCCCAGCTTGAATCCCTCCAATGGAAAAGACCTCATCATAACAGAAAGTGATTGGTTACCCCCCCTAACCTTCATGCAACTGTTGCATCTCTCCAGGCAGGCCAGTATTGTAGCATGTCAGGTCCAGCACTGGATAAGACCATCAGTTCCTTCTCCCTATCCCCTCAACAGTCTGCATAGTTCCTTCTAGCACTATGTAAGCTAGCCAGCAGAGAGGAATTTTTCTGGTCAGTTCAAGGTTGAGTCCTCTATGTCCTGAGTCCAAAGTGAGTGGCGTCTTCAGCAATAGAGTCTTAACATCTAGTCCTTAAGGGCAACTAAGAGCAATGGCGTTCACCTATGTTGTTTCGGTGGCTTCTGTGGCCCCCCTGACCAACGACTCATGGTGGAGTGGATACCCCATGTATATAAGTTACTTGACTGTTGCTGTGATAAAATAGCATGACTAAAAGCAGCTTAAGAAAGTAAGGGTTTGTTTTGCCTTATGGTTCCAGGGGGAGAGTCCATCATGGGAGGAAAGGAGACATGGCAACAATCAGGGAAAATATAATGGCAAGAGAAGGAAGCTATCTAATCACATCCACACACAGGACAGGAAGTGGGGCAAGGGTAGAAACACTCAAAGCCTGCCCCTGGTGGCATACTTTCTACAGCAAGGCTGCACCTCCTAAAGGTACCATGACACTCACCCCCAAACATTACTACCAAACTGGGGACCAAATATATGATCATGTGGGAGACGTTTCTCACTCGAACCCTACTGCCAGGTTGTCCTATCCTCAGAAGCCATCCCACTGCAGATGGTCTGTCGGTCCATAGCCTGAGTGGGTAAGCCAAGCTTCATATGATCTGAAGAGGGCTGTAGAGAAGACACTGGGTGCTTCATGGAAGATAAGAAGGCTTCTTGGAAAAGTGATAGATGAGACCTAAATAATGGGAAAAGTAACTACTGAAGAGTGAATTCAATGTAGAACCGTTAGAAGGTGGGGGTGTGATTTCAGTGTAGACAGCCCTTATCAATTCATCATGCAGATGGCATTTTTTGTGGATAGCTTATTTTACCCAGCATTACGTTTTTCATGGGTCTAACACTTGGTTTTTAATTTTATTGTGTTTGTTTATCTTGGAGGGGTACACACATGCCATAGCTTGTGTGTAGAGGCCAGAAGACAACTTTGAAAAGTCTACTCCCAAGCTGGGGTGGTGGTGGTGGCGCACACCTTTAAACCCAGCACTTGGGAGGCAGAGGCAGGTAGGTCTCTGAGTTCAAGGCCAGCCTGGTCTACAGAGCAAGTTCCAGGACAGCCAGAGCTACATAGAGAAACCCTGTCCCTATTCCCTCTACCATGTAGGTTCCAGAAACTGAACACAGGTCATCAGCCTTGGCAGCAAGCACCTTTACCTTCTGAGTTGCCTCACTGGCCCTAGTTAGTATTTTAGTAATTATTGCTAAATACTAAGTCATTGTAGGGCTATGCCATTGGGCCATGAGTTGATTAGCATTTAGTTGTTCTTACTTTTGACTATTATGAGTAGTGTTGCCATAGTCACCTTTGTATAGGTTTTTATGGAGATTGGGTTTTTATTCCTCTGGGGTGTATAATTAGAAGTGGGATTTCTGGGTCACTCGGGCATTATTTCATGCTTAATACTAACGAATGATTTCAAAGTCTTTTTAGAACATTAATCTGCATTGTTACTTTAAGAAAAACACAAATATTTCTATAATCACAATTTTTCTCTTCAAAAGTCCTAGGTTTTTCTTTAATGTTGCCTCTTTTCTTATTTAGCTTATTTATTGTTTATTTTTGTAGTCATAATCACCTGTGGTTGAATCCATTTTCTTCAGTATAGCGTTTACTGGTGGCCCACCAGATTCCCATCACCCCATGTTTCCTTTGGTAGTGTTCTCAGGAGCCACATGCCGAGATTAGATCTGGGTGTCAGTACCAAATGTGTCTCCCCGTCTCCGAATCTGGAACACTAGTCCACTGAGGCAGGGGAGGGCAGATGAGACAAAGACCAGAGGTGATGTGACCATTGTGAGCTTCTGGCTTTCCCAAGACTCTGATTTGATAACTCATGATTCAGCAAGAGAGACAAGTACAGAAGGCTTTCTTTTCTGTGCATTCATCAATAAGGAGTGTGAGCTGAGCATAGACATTTGGGGGGTCTCTGTGAGACATTTTAGGGGGTCTCTGTGAGCCCCAGGTGACCACAAGCAGTTTGACCCATGTCTTGTTTAACTTGGATTCTCTCTGTACATAATTTCCCTTCAGAATGAAAACAGCTTTGGTTGAATCCGTTTCCCTAGGTAGGGCATTTACCCATGACCTATTAGAATTCCATCTCCTCTGAAGGATCCTCCTCTTCTTCTATCACAGAAGCGTAGGGGTTTTTTGTCTTGTTTTGTTTTCTTTCATTTTTTTCTGGGTTTCGTTTTACCTGTTGATCTCTTTCAGCGAGTTGCAGACCTGGAACATGAAAATGCTCTCTTGAAGGACGAGAAGGAGCACCTTAATAACCAAATCCTGCGCCAATCAAAAGGTAAGCTCCAGACCAGCTGTATATCCCTCTTCTCCCTCTTCGCCGTTCCCTGGCCTCTTAGATGATGCAGAGGAGGAAGGGCTTACCAAGGGAGAGCTGGGGGAAAGGAGGGTGAATCTTAACATCCTGCTGTGACATTCCTTTGGAGAGTCTGTTGAAAGGGAAACATGTTCTTCATGTGTGAAACCATGCATGGGACTTGGTATCAGGAGGTCCCCTCTTCAAAGCATGACACTGCTGCACACAGCCCTGTGGCCTTGTGCAAGCATCCATCTGAAAATGGACAGGAAAGACAGACCGGGAAGGGCTTGTGGGAGAAGTGAGCAAGATACACAAGGGAAGTGCTTAAGCTGGTGCTCAGCACAGTTGAGCGCCCATGCGTGTGTTTACATTTGTCTTGCTCATCCTTATCACCCGTGTCTCCTACCACACGGTCACTCTGCTGAAGGACAGGATCTTTGATTAGACCCTAGATGAGCCTCTCTCTAGTGCTCACCAACTCCCAGGCTGCCACCCACCCCTGTGACTCACTTGTCTGCGGGGGGCACAGTGGAGTGCATAAATCCAGTTCTTGTCTGCTCAGGGTAACCAGATCTCCTCCCATCCTTAGGGTCCTCACCCATCTCACAGGGCAGCTGAGCATCACAACCTCACAGCCCCCCACTAGCCTAAGATCTTGTGAAAATAGGAGATGCTTTCAAACTGCCCTTTAAAAAAAAAACCATTTGCTTCCCTTCCGTTACTATGGATACAAGGTTGGCAAGAGAATAGAGCCCATCTGAATTTCTTAGGTTCCTAGCCCGCTTCTCCCTATATCATCTCTGGCCGGGTCTCCAAGAACCTGAAAGATCAGGATTATGAGAGTTGAGAATGAAGCCTGGGTTCTGCTGGAAATGCTGCCAGTCGCCCTTATGACAGCTGTCAGAAGAGAGGCAGGCACACGGGCTGGGTGGGAGTGCTCACGTGCATTGAGAGTTCCTCCCCTACCTCCCTAAGAGCAGGGTCACCCTTCTTCCTGTGGGAACCCTTGGTTCCGAATAATGAGCCCCTCCCTCCTCAACCCCACAGAAGGTTAGGAGAATGAGATGAGCCTCTTAACAGGAGATTAGTCAGAATGCTCCTAGCAGGGCATGCGCATTTGAGGATCCCCCTCAGTTGCTGAAACCCAGCTTCTCATGCCTGCTTTCCAGCTGAATCTTCCCAGAGCTCTGTAGAGGAGAACCTCCTGATGAAGAAGGAGCTGGAGGAGGAGAGGTCCAGGTACCAGAACCTCGTGAAGGAATACTCCCGGCTGGAGCAGAGATATGAGAACCTGCGAGATGAGGTGACCATCGTAAAGGCAAGGGAGGAAGTTCTGCTGCCTGGTGGAAATGGCTTCCTTTTCTGCCCCGTTAGAGCTGGCTGCATAGCCCTTGCTCTCTGTCACTGCCCTGCTCAGCAAACAGGCATGTGTGCTAGACCACCTATTCTTTCATTCCCATGGGAACGCTGTGGTTCGGAAGCCGCCAGCTGGTGGTGCCTTCCTGAGGATGCCCTTTCTCAACACTGAGGTCTTATTGAGATCTTAGGAGGTGAAGAATTGTTTTCCTGTATGTGTATGTTGTCATCTTGCTCCTTGTTCTAGAAAACTCCAATGTTGAGACAGTAGTGTGGTAGGCTGTGACCTCAGCTGCATTGGCACATATGGAGAGAGACCCTTGGAGCCTGATTGGGTCTCCTAATCTCTGACAAAAATGCAAGATATTTTTGTGACATTTCAAGATCTGACATTCTTATTTACCCATACGAATACTCCCTCCCAACATACATATTCAACATCAGTAAGTTAGTTGCATGGAAACCAGGAAAGGAATCTGAATAGGAACTGAAATAGAAATCTAAAAATTCCACCAAGCTCGGTTTTCACTCTTAAAGACAAACCGGCTGCCAAAATCTAAACTGAAAGGTCTTTTTAAATGAAGAGCCCTGGAGGTGCAGTCTATTTCTAATTACTACCGTTTCCGTGGGCAGAATGGAGTGGAAGGAGAGGCTGCTCAGGGTAGGGTTGCAGTGTTCCTTTCAAGAGCACAGAGAAGGGGTACACTGTGTGCATGCAGAGGGTACCGCTGGGATGACAGGCTGTTCCTCCTCACTTTCTGGGTGTTGTGGGTTGTAAAGCTTTGAGAGACAAGGGGAGAGCTGGGCATGTGGCTCTTTGGTAGAGCATTTGCCTAGCATACATGGGACTAACTATTATCTGCTGTTTCAAGGAGCAGCACTGTCCATACTTGTCAACAAGTGAGGCAGCTGGCTGATGTCCAGGGCCTGCTGCTCCTTGAGAAGTTAGTTCTCATCATACGAGCTGGTTATGAATCGTCACATTTTTCTCCTTGAGCAGCAAACCCCAGGCCACAGGAAGAACCCGTCAAATCAAAGTAGCTTGGAATCTGATTCCAATTACCCCTCTATTTCCACTTCTGAGATTGGAGACACTGAGGATGCCCTTCAGCAGGTGGAGGTAAGTCTGGGCACTGTTTACAGCTGTCTTGCCTGGGACATGATAATTGCCTGCATGGAACTACCTAACAAAGATTGGTGGTGGTGGCTCAGAGGGTCCAGGGGACAGGCATTGAGAACAGGATCACTGGGTTGCAGTGAGCTTACAGACTCTGCAAGCCACACAGATGTACAGCCTGGCATTCATGTAGATACTGTTTCCATGCAGATATGAGCACTGCTATCTCCAAGGCTGCGTTCTTTAAGGCAGATCCTGAGCTGGTCAAGCACAAAGTACTCATTACATGAGGCACAACTAGATCATGCTGCCACACATGTACACAGCATAGTTAAAAACAGGCTGCATATATGTTCATACACATTACCCACTCATAAACAGACACATTTGTGCACATACATTACCCACATAGTAAAATCCAGACATGAATTTGAAAGGATAGAAATATACTTGGAAATCAGTACATTTAAGATCCTGGCATCATGGGCAGGAGGAGTATTGATTGTTTCAAGTTGCAATCAGGTAGTTGTTGGCATCACATTTACGGTGACTGGTGGCCACGGTGATCCCTCATCAGGAAGGACTGTGTCCTGAGATTGTTTCTCTCATGTAATGCCATTTTCCAGAAGCGAATTCCCTTTTAGCTTCCAACGAAAGTGGCTGTGCTTTGTTCTTAGAATATGCCATCGGTCATTTAAGCGGCTCACACAGGAGGAATGTGAATGGCTGAGACAGAGATATAATCTAGAAGGGAGTAAGCCCACAGCACCAGCTTTCGTATGAGAAACACTGGTGTTTTGGCACTGGCTTTGTGTTGGAGGCAAGGATTTGTGTTGGGGAGGAGCAGAGACAGATGGCTGGTACAGAGGTGGGCAGCAGGCATTGTGTTCCCGGAGCACTTGTCCCGTGGAAACCGTCTTGTGTGCGTCCCTCTTCCTTTGCAGGAGATCGGTGCAGAGAAGGCGGCGATGGACATGACCGTCTTCCTGAAGCTGCAGAAGAGAGTGCGGGAACTTGAGCAGGAGAGGAAGAAGCTGCAGGTGCAGCTAGAAAAGGAGCAGCAGGACAGCAAGAAAGTTCAGGTGTGTGGCAGCCTGTGAGCCTGTGTGTCAGCCTGTGACAGAAAGCCTGTGAGCCTGTGTGTCAGCCTGTGACAGAAAGCCTGTGAGCCTGTGTGTCAGCCTGT